ATAGATAGATAGATAGATAGATAGATAGATAGATAGATAGATAGATAGATAGATAGATAGATAGATAGATAATTATAAAGAAAATATGTTTTCTAGATATTTTCAACTCTTTCATGATTATAGAAATCATCATGTCTATATCACACCGCTGTAAACATGCAAACATACAACCTAATGGAATTTCAGAGAAATTCAGAAGGAAATTCACAACTTTCTATAGTGTGATCTTTTCCTCTAATCTTGTTATCATTTTCATTTCCCTTTTGCTTTGAAGGTAATAATGGGCAGGAGAATCAAGATTCCTGTGAACTGTTCCAAGTGATCAATGCTAAAGATGGAATGGAGATGTTTAGAATTCAAATGGAATTCGAAAGCCATGAGAGAAACCAGTCAAAGATTTGGAATCTGGAAAGTTCATCTTCCACTGATGCTCCAATGCAAGACTTTCTTGCCCAAGAAGAGAAAATAAGGGAAACATATACTGGGAAACGTGTGAAGCTAATCAAAACTGAATTACATGTGAATGAACACTATTTAACACAAAACAAAGAAGATGCTATAAAAAAAGACAACGGAGTAAATTCCAACGGCACATTCATTCTTTCTCTTGGTAATAACTTCCTTACATCTCAAAAAGTGATTGATACAAATGAGAAGCCTTATAAATGTTTGGAATGTGGAGCATGTTTTAGAACAAGAAGGCAACTTACTTCCCATGAAAGGATTCACACTGGGAAGACACTCTACATATGCAATGAGTGTGGAAAGACCTTTGCTAATAACAATATACTTACTATCCATAAAAGGATCCACACAGGGGAGAAACCATATAAATGCATGGAGTGTGAAATGACTTTTGCTCATAGCAGTAATTTGATTTCCCATAAAAGGATCCACTCAGGAGAGAAGACATATAAATGCATGGAATGTGGAAAGACTTTTGCTCATAGCAGTACACTTACTTCCCATAAGATGATCCACACAGGGGAGAAGCCGTATAAATGCATGGAGTGTGGAAAGACGTTTACTCAGAGCAGTGGACTTAGAAGACACAAAAAGCTCCACACAGGAGAGAAACCATTTAAATGCATGGACTGTGGAAAGACATTTGCTGAAAAACGTAATCTTATTTCCCATAAAAGGATCCACACAGGGGAGAAGCCATATAAATGCATGGAGTGTGGAAAGACCTTTGCTCAAAGAGGTACTCTTATGTCCCATAAGATGATCCACACAGGGGAGAAACCATATAAATGCATGGAGTGTGGAAAGACCTTTGCTAGTAGCAGTTATCTTATTTCCCATAAGATAATTCACACAGGAGAGAAACCATATAAATGCATGGAGTGTGGAAAGACCTTTGCTAGTAGCAGTTATCTTATTTCCCATAAGATAATTCACACAGGAGAGAAACCATATAAATGCATGGAGTGTGGAAAGACCTTTGCTCAGAGCAGTGGACTTACTATCCACAAAAGGCTCCACACAGGGGAGAAGCCATTTAAATGCATGGAATGTGAAAAGACCTTTGCTCTAAGAAGTCATCTTATTTTACATAAAATGATCCACACAGGGGAGAAGCCATATAACTGCATGGAGTGTGGAAAGACCTTTGCTCAAAGAGGTACTCTTATGTCCCATAAGATGATCCACACAGGGGAGAAACCATATAAATGCATGGAGTGTGGAAAGACCTTTGCTAGTAGCAGTTATCTTATTTCCCATAAGATAATTCACACAGGAGAGAAACCATATAAATGCATGGAGTGTGGAAAGACATTTGCTCGGAAGTATTATCTCACTTGCCATAAGATGAGCCACACAGGGGAGAAACCATATAAATGCATGGAGTGTGGAAAGACATTTGCTCGGAAGTATTATCTCACTTGCCATAAGATGAGCCACACAGGGGAGAAACCATATAAATGCATGGAGTGTGGAAAGACATTTGCTCGGAAGTATTA